CCAGTTTTGGTTCAAAAAGAAAAGAAGAATAACCGTCATAATGCAAAATAATAATAATAATAATAATGATAATGATGATAATAATAATATAATAATAATTTAAATTCATCCTTGACCTAAATGTGTTAGACGCCCCTGTCCTAAATCATTTGACATCAGTTCATTTGTGATAAAGCACAAAGACACTATTAGTTCCGGTTATTACACAGACACGGGCGGCACGGTGGCTGAGTGGATAGCACTCTCGCCTCTCAGCAAGAAGGTCCTGGGTTCGAATCCCGGCCGGACCAGGGCCTTTCTGAGTGGAGTTTGCATGTTCTCCCCGTGTCTGCGTAGGTTTCCTCCGGGTACTCCGGTTTCCCCTACCACTAAAAATATGTCCAATAGTTCTAGCATGCGCCTCCTGTACTGGCGACCGCGCTCCCATCTCTGTGTGGAGTGAGAGACAAATGCCAAAAAATTAACAATTGTAAACCGCTTTGAGACTCAGATCTGCAGTGAAAAGGCGGTATATAAATAAATACTTACTTACTTACTTACTTACACTAAACCTTACCCGATTAGTGCAAACTGAGCTGTCCTCCAGGTCATCTTCAACCACACAAACTGAAGTATTCAAATGAGCCGTTTGCATAAGGCCTGATTGCTCCAGAGACCACTCTTTCACAAGAAGATAAGAAATTCTTTATTATTCCTACAGAGAGGAAATGTCAACATTATATAGAGTGCGGGCCATATCCACAGGCCAGCAGGACTTTGAAAGGGGCCTAAACTTTTTTCCAAACACCAAAACTGGCACTGGCAACTCAATTAGCATATTTTACACATATAAACATGTTGCTATAAAGTGAGGAGTAAATTCTCTAATAGCCGTTCTCTCGAAAACGTGTCAGTATGAGGTCAGTGTGTAAGACCTCATCTGCACAAAAGTCTGTTCAATTCAAATCAGTCAAGAATATGAGGGTTTTTAACATTTGATACATTCATGAAAGTAATTGTGTGGGCCACCTGTCAAGTGAAATTAGAAGCAGTTTTCCACATCTCAATGAGGAATCATACGTTGTAAGACAGGTAATGTCTATGAGTATGAATTCTGCAAATATACTGAAGAGCAGGACGAAGAGGAGCAGGTGCTGTCTATTTTCATGAATGCTACTAACATACAGTTGAACATGAGGAAGAGGAAGAGGTGGAGGAGGAAGAAAAGGATGGTGGCCAGTGAAAGTGATACTGCTAGTGAAAGTTACAGCACACGGCTTGTATCACTGTGTGAACAGTTTTGGTAGAGATACAAGCTCTTGCAGTGCGTGTAAGTGTATATAAATGTTTTCTGTTTTCTGTCAGTGTGTCCCAGGCCAGTTGTAGCTACAGAAGTAGTTTATCACCACAGTGAACCGTCTTTGAGTGTCCTGAAAAGCGCTATATAAAACCGATGTATTCATATTATTATTATTACTGCTATTATTATTATTATTTTGGTTTCAAAGAGGGAGTCAAACCAAATGAATAAAACTGAGCGAATGTGTTGAATGCTAAGGCAAGAAGGAGTTTACCCCACAAATGAAGGTATCTGATTAGTCATGGATATTATAAAATACATACACCAGCTTCATATACCAGAGATTTTTAAGCCCAAAATGGTGAGTGTGTCACAAACAGTTACTTAGCTAAAGGAGTTTACTTTTCAATCTCAATAGAAGCCAGAGCAAGTTCGAGCAATGCTTTGTCCATGAGTACAATCAATCAATCAATCAACGTTTATTTGTAGAGCGCCTTTCCTACACAAGGCAACGCAAAGCGCTTCACATCCCCTATCACATCATGCATAAATCAAACACATTAAGAGCACAAGATATATTAAAAACATTAAAAATAAAATCACAAAAATTAAAAACCTTTAAACATTAAAATCACAGATGGGACTAAAATCATAAATAGTCACAGTGCATTAAAAAGATTAAAGATAAAAACAAAGATGAAAAGATAAAATCATTCAGTTGTATATGCGCAGCTAAACAGAATTGTTTTGAGCCTAGATTTAAAAGATGCCAGAGTAGACGCCTGTCTCACATTTTCAGGAAGACGGTTCCAGACTCTAGCCGCATGAATCTGAAATGCAGTTTGCCCATGTCTAGTACCGACTCTGGGCACTAACAGGAGTCCAGTCCCTGTGCTCCTCAGAGTCCGGGTCGGTTCATATGGCACAAACATGTCATGGATGTACCTTGGCGCGAGATCATGGAGAGACTTGTACACAAGTAAAGCTGCTTTGAAGTCTATTCTCTGAGGAACAGGAAGCCAGTGCAGAGACCTGAGAACTGGACTAATGTGGTCGTACTTCCTAGTTCTGGTCAGGACTCGAGCTGCTGCATGTTGAATGTACTGCAGCTGTTTTACAGCCTGTTTGGACAGACCTGTGAGCAGGCCATTGCAATAGTCTAACCGACTGGAGACAAAAGCGTGTATAAGAGTCTCCAAGTCTGCCTTAGACACTATGTTTTTAATTTTAGCAATGTTTTTTAGGTGGTAATAAGCTGCTGATGTTACAGATTTTATGTGGCTTTTGAAATTTAAGTCTGAGTCCATTATCACTCCTAGATTTCTGACCTGATTTGAGGGTTGTAGAGAGAGAGCCTGGAGGTGACAAATAACGCTCTCTCTTTGTTTCTGGGGTCCGAAAACAATTATTTCTGTTTTGTCGGTGTTTAGTTGGAGAAAGTTATTTTGCATCCAATCACCGATTTGCTGGACACAGTGAAGGAGCGAGTCCACTGGTTCATGCTCTCCTGCTGTCAGGGACACATAGACCTGAGTATCGTCAGCGTAATTGTGATAAGAGACATTATTACTGTGAATCAACTGACCTAGAGGCAACATGTAAATATTAAACAGAAGAGGACCCAGGATTGACCCCTGTGGCACTCCGCAGGTCAGGGCCAAGTGGTCTGAGGTACAGTTTTCGATCTCCACAAAAAACTTTCTGTCTTGTAAATAGGACCTAAACCAGCTTAGGGCGGTGCCAGCAACACCAACCCAGTCCTCAAGTCTCTGAATGAGGATGCCATGATCAATAGTGTCAAAAGCAGCACTTAAATCTAACAGAAAAAGGACTGAGACTTTTCCTGCGTCAGTGTTTAGTTTGATGTCATTTGTTACCTTTATTAGCGCGGTCTCAGTGCTGTGGTGGGGTCTAAACCCTGACTGGAACATATCATAAGCGTTATTGATTATTAAAAATTCTGTAAGTTGTTTATAGGCAACTTTTTCTAGAATTTTTCCCATGAAAGGCAGATTTGAAATGGGCCGATAATTTTTGAGTGCCAGGGCTTCCAGACTCCTCTTTTTTAGGAGGGGCCTGATGACCGCCGTTTTCAAGGCCATTGGGAATGTTCCAGATTCAAGAGACATATTAACTATTTGTGTAAGTGAAGGTAAAAGACTGCTCAGAACTGACTTGAGAAATCTAGGAGGTAATACATCCAGGCTGCATGTGGAGGAACTCAGACTAGTGATTATCTCCTGGACAGTTTCAATTTGTACTGGTGTAAAGTGCGTCAGCCCAAAAAGCCTCACTGGCGGTTGGATTATTATTTCTATCGTGGAGGTGATGGCGTTTTTGATACCTTGGACTTTGTCATTAAAGAACTGAGCAAACTCATTACATTTAGATTTGGAAGTAAGTTCTGATGGCATCTTAACAGGGGGATTCGTCAATCTATTTACTGTTGAAAACAGAACACGTAGATTGTTGCTACAGCCTTCAATAGTTTCAGAAAAGTACATTTCCCTCGTTCTACGTAGTTCCCTGTTAAAATTGCACAACGCATCTTTGAAGATCTCATGGTCAACTTTGAGATTTGACTTTCGCCACTTCCGCTCGGCCTTCCGGCACTCTCTCTTCTGTGCCCTGACCGAGTCTGCTTTAGTCCATGGCGCTTTTTGCTTGTTTGTAACTATTTTAACCTTTACAGGAGCAATTGTATCCAGAACATTCAAAACAGTGGTGGTGACAGAATCAAGTAATTCATCTACAGTAACACACAACGTGTTCTCAAAGTTTACCCTCCCCATGAACAGTTCGCCTGTATTATCATTTATGTGTCTTCTTCTAACAACCGAAGATTCAGCTGGTGGTTTACAATCAAGACACATGTCAAAAAATACACAGAAATGATCAGACAGAGCAACATTGACCACATTTACATTTGAAATATTAACCCCCTTGGTAATTAACAGATCGAGAGTGTGTCCTCTGCTGTGGGTGGGGCCACTCACATGCTGAGTGAGACCAAAGGTTTCCAGCACAGAGCTCAGCTCTATTGCATATCTATCATTAGCATTATCTACATGTATATTGAAATCACCTACAATGACCAAACCATCAAAATCTGTGCACACAACTGAAAGCAACTCAGTGAAATGATCAGTGAAACTATGGCATGACTGTGGCGGCTTGTACACAACAATAATAAGAATGGAAGAAGATTTCTTTTGTTCTATTTTAAAAGCAACATACTCAAATGATGAAAATTTCCCAAGAGACACTCTATGGGAGACAATACGATCTTTAAAAACTGCTGCTATGCCCCCCCCCCTTTTATTTTCTCGTGTTTCATGTTCAAATTTGAAATTTGGTGGTGAGGCTTCTATTAAAACTGCATCTCCTGTATTATGGTCAAGCCATGTTTCAGTCATAAACATAAAATCAAGATCATACGAACAGATAAAATGATTAATTAAAAATGATTTGTTGCATAGTGATCTGACATTAAGTAGAGCAAGGTTAAAATTAATATCAGTGTCAATGGGTTTAGTTGATTGATTACAAAGAACTGGAATTAGATTTCCAGAGTTGGACCGTCTAACTGCTGTCCTTCTTTTAAATTTGTGGGCTATTGGGCTTCATTGAGCTAGCAGCTGAGCTTTGAGATGGTAAGCATGGTCCATCTGCTGTGTATACACACTCTACGATTCTGTCCTAAAACAAAAATCCCTCTCACCGTATTGAAAAACTCCACCACATTCTCAGAGTGCCGATAATTGTCCTCACACCAGTCGATGTCCGAGCTCTGGTAAGAAAACACTCCTGCCAATCTCTCAGTGGAGTACATCCTGAAATGGAAAAAAACAATAAAGCATAAAGTATTCAGTATTGTCAATTTTGTTTTCAGTAGTGGTAATTTTTGCCCTTAAAAGGTCAACTCACCCTCAAGTCCACTTTTTTCTGCTGATAAACAGTATAAATGAGTGTCCAACAGAGTTGTCTACATATCCTGGTCATAACTTTGTCACTTTAGTTCAAATTAGTTGAAAGATCAACTTTCTGCCAGCATCAGTGAGGCGCCATCTGCAGGCGACCTGTATTTACTACATTTGACTTTTGAATCTGGCGCCACCATTGGCGCAGCCGTGAAGGCTGACGTCTGCAGTGAAGGCTGATGTCAGTTGCCCTTACCCTTTGGGGTATATAAGCGGCCATGTCTCGTACACCCCCCGTAGCGAGTTGGAGAAGGAATGGCAGAGAGTATTTTCCTTGATTGTCAGGTTTGCGATTTTTTATTTAGGTACATTTTTATTTGCATACCTGTTTGTATTATAGATCAGTAGGTTAATAGCGTTGCTGTTGAATATTGTAGTTTTAGTCATTAGTTGCTTTTGTTGTTAGATTAGTTAGCTGAATTTAGCTTAGGATTTTTGTTAGTATTAATTTTTAGTGTTCTATATTGTGTGCAATTTCATTGTATACTGTTTATTGTACTTGTGTGTTAGGATGGGGAGGAAGTGTAGTGTAGTGGGATGCCACAGTTTCGTAGGTTTGCACTGGTTTCCTCAGAACTTAGAAAATAGGCGCCAGTGGCTGCGTGCAATTAATTTGGGAGAAGACTGCAAACTCCCTCCTCACACTGGAGTTTACAAACTACATTTTGCGCGTGAGACCGCACAGAAGCTATAGAGCTGGTGTCTGTGATCACTCTCCATCACATGAAAAACTCAAAAAAGACCATTTTGCTACATTTGTGTATAAACTCTTTTATAAGTGAATGTTGCAGAGAAAAGTCTGACTGCAGCCATAAGTTTATGAAAATCAGTGCCTCTTGTGTTGTTCATGGGTATGCAAATACTGTAACGCACCTGCAGCTTATACCAGGCACATTTCACTGCTCTGTAGTTTAACAGCTTTTTCGTTCATACACCATTCTTTGGGTTTTGATTCATAGACCCTCGTAGCCTACAATGGGGGAAATGGTTGAAGTCCTATGTGTTGAATGTGTGCAGTGACTCCATTATTAACAGTGTTGGGAAGGTTCCTCTGAAAATAAAATTATATATCACTAGTTACAGAGATAAACAATTATCATACATTTGTATTACCATAATAGCAATAATATATACAATATATATATATATATACACGTATATACATTATATATATGTTGTTAATTACACCGTTAAGTGCTGTAGTGAGCAATGCATTGTGGGAGTACACTACAGTTTTTTAAATGTCAAATGTAAAGGAGCCAATGAGGAGCCTTGGAGTGGTGGTGTGGTGAGACCTGATTCCTCATGCTGTCAGTGGGATCAGTGGGCAGGTGCTGTGTAGCAGTGGTCCTTTCTAGGACAATGCTGACATCAGGCCAAAATGCCAGGGCTTCTTCTCTAAATACAACTCATAGTGAACATTAATCTGATTTTTTTAAAGCCACATATTCTACTCATTGCAGTAAGTTTCCACTCAGAACTTCATCCACTTACAGACGGATATCTATTTTACATTTATATTTTACACTGTTTCCTTTTGATAAAGTTTAAAGTTCAATCATATGGGCTCAACAGGAGCCAACACCTATTATCCCTTGGAGTGCACACTTAACAGCTTCAAGCGCGCTCCCACAAAATGTTGCTTAACTTTTCCAAAGTTATTCCTGAAGTTACACAGACGCCCTAAAACCTTCAAATCAGGTCAGCTATCTTGTAGTAATACTGGACTCAGACTTAAATTTCACCACAACAAATCTGTAACATCAGTAGCTTTTTACCATCTAAAAAACATTGCTAAAATTAAAAACATAGTGTCTTGAGCAGATTCTTATCCATGCGTTTGTCTCCAGTAGGTTAGACTACTATATGGCTTGCTCACTGAACTCTCCTAAGTATGTCCAAAATGCTGCAGCTCGAGTCCTGACTAGAACCAGGAAGTACCATCAGATTATTCTACCTCTGAGTTCTCTGCACTGGCTTCTTGTGGCTCAGAGAATAGACTTTTGTGTACAAATCTCTCCATGGTCTTGTACCAAAGTACATCTGTGATATGTTGATGCCAAATGTACCGGCTCGGACTTGGAGGAGCACAGGAACTAGCATCTTGCTGGTGCCCAGAGTCAGAACTAAACAAGGGGTTCAAATCCAGGTTAAAAACAGTTCTGTTTAGCTGTGCATACAACTGAATGATTTCATCATTACTATTTTTAATGCACTCTGGCTAATTAAAAAAAAAAACGTTTTTAATATTTCTGGTGATCGTAATGTTTGCTTTTAATGTATTGTGGGATTTTAATTGGATTTTTAAATGTTTATTTAGATTTAAATGTTTATGATTTATCCCTTGTGTGAAATTGGTTGTGCGGAGCTTTGTGTTGCCACAAGCAACACAAGGCAACACAAAGGCGCTGCATGTCCAGAGAAGTTGGACATGCAGTAGTTGTGGTTAACATACCACTGTAAAGTAATAGTAATAGTAATAATGATAATAACAACAAAAATATTATATATATATAAAACCACAAAACTGATAGGTAGCTCTTCGAATTACATACATAAAGCACGTTTTCTGCTTTACAGATCACTACGGTAAACAAAACAGTTGGCAAGTGTATATAGTTTCTTACAGTGTAGATAAAAACGTTGCGAAATATCAATATTTTCTGCATCTTATTTGACTGATTACCTGTCAAATAAGATGCAAGTGGGCCCTTTTCATACAATATTAAAGAGTGAAATATTGTATGTATATTGTATAGTATATTAAAATATACATAAATGAGTCATTTGTGAGTAGTGCGTAACGATGCTCCAATCCTTATATTGGCTCTAATTATTATCTTTGCCTGCGCCTTTAAACTCTGGGTAAGCATGGGTGAGACGATGCGGTCCGTACCTCGGCTCCAGTTGCTCCAGGCCTCCCTGGGTCTGCTCTGGCCGTGCGTAATGGTAAAAGGTGCTCCAGTCCGTAGTCTGTGGTGCGTGGAATGCGTAATGATGCTCTGGGACAGGTGTTCAAGCGACAGGTGCGGGGGAAGCAAAAAGGGGCGGGGCGGGGCTGGGCTTACTGCAGCACGAGGCGACACGCGCACACACAAAAACAAAAAACAAAACTAAAACTAAAGGTCACGGGAATTCTGTCTGAGTCTGGAAGAGACTGCCTGTTTCGGATTGGATTTGAGAGAGGTCTTTTGTTGAGTAGTGGTAGTAGTAGTAGTAGTAGTAGTAGTAGTAGTAGTAGTAGTAGTAGCAATAGTAGTAGTAGTAGTATAGTATGATTTGGTATAGTGTATACCCTGCCAGAAATGTTTGGATAATGAATGATAACACAAACACGGTTTTTCACTCATTGTTGTTGGTTGTGGGACACAATGTATTGTCAAATACACATTTATTTCATTTTTTTTTTCTATTAGAAACTTCTCTTCTGGCACGGGGCTGAAGTTTCCACCCCCCAGTTTCTCAATAGCATGTATTTCCCTATAACATCTATGAAGTCTTTTGTGGTAGTTGTGATCCTTCATCTTTTCAGATTCTTGTGAAAAGCCGCCAGTTTCAGTCAATTCCTGGACTGCCTCACATGAACTGGAATCAGTGAACATGCATGGTCATACTGTACCTAGATCCAAACTATTTCAAGAACAAGGTGTTAGATGGATTTTTATGACATAGTTCCATGCTTGAAGTTTAAAAGTGAGCTTTAAGGTGAACAGTAAAGAAGTGAAAAACAAATGTCATGTCTTAGCTTTAATTTTTTTCCACAGGTGTGTCGCAGGACCTATAGTGACTAATGTCACTGAATCTGCTGGTCCTAACGCTCAGTTTATAGCGATCAGACTGGTCCGTCTGCTCCAAGACAATGCAATACAAAAGCCCTTTGAAAAAAACAGGACTGTCGACTGTTACAAATCAAATAAAACATAAGGAAGAAACATATGGAAAAAGCCCAGGGGAAATGCAGTTACAGTCACAACAATAGTCAATTCAGTGTAATACAGTAACAACCTCAGCTCTTGTGGACACTTTGATAGACAAAGAACAAATATTATACATTATTTTGGTATTGGAACTTCAGGCTGTAAATGATGAAATTTAGCATTTACAGCCTGAAATATTCTTTCAGGGAATTAATAGAACTTTAGTGGAACAAACTGGGAATTAATTGTAATGTAATTCATTTGTATCAGATCCAAGCAAAAATATAGACAGAATTCATATGAAAACAACCATGCAAAATCTTATCTATAGATATTTGTAAGTAGTAAGTTTTATTTGTATGTAGTTCCCCATAATATCATCAAAACTTGCTTCTCTTTCATAATCTGTGAATATCTGCATTTCTTCCTGGATGTGTAAACTTCGAAGCACAGATACTCAAGATGGGCTACAGCTGGGCATACTCTTGGCAATTTCATGCAATTTTCAGATGTGCGATATTGTTGACAGGAGTGACCACACCGTACAGAGCAATGGACGCACACATTCAACTGCTCACACTGATGGTGTTTGTGAGCTAGATAATTTCGCCCAGTCAGAGGAAGAAACATGCAAACTCCACATAAAAAAGCCCGGGCGCACACAAGATCTTCTTACTGTGAGGACTGACCACTTCTCGCTGAGCCAGCCTAACAGATGTAAAACTACTTTAATGGTTGTGAGATTTCATAACACTTTTAAGCAACTTTTGTTAAAGTTAAACTCATCCTTATTACGTTTGCACGAGCCAGTACTTTTCCCTTGTTTTGACTTCTGAAGGCCAAGCTACATGGCACCGTGGAAGCTGCTGATTGGAGGACTGCATTCCTCCATGCTGTATAATACACTTGCTGTTGTAACATCCCTTGTGCGTGTTGTTCGTGCTGTCTCTACCATCGACCATAAAACATGTCTTCTGTCTGAATTTAAGACACAATCCCACACTTTGTCATCTTCTTCATGGTTTACCAGAGAGTTTGTCCCACTAAGAATGGTCATGATTAAAAATTTAACCCATCACACACATTTCACATTCATTAAAAATACAAAGCCAATTGCGGCAGTCCACACAAAGCAGCCTATGAGCCTTAAACACTATTGTCACTAGTGTGTGAGCTGTAACCCTATCCCTGAGCCAATGGGAAGGCTTGATATTGAGTTGTGGGAAGTTGTTAGGTCACTTTTGAGAAAACCCAGTGAGGAGGAGACAAGAGGACTATTAAAACACCACCACTTTCGTTCAATAATTACCGGTTTGCTCTTCAATCAGACCCAGCAGTGGACCCCATCATTACAATCAAATCTGGTAATCAAAAAAATGTTCCCAAAAATGCCACTTTGATCATGGTCAAATTTTTTCCACATAGTTCCCAGGGAAAAGGCCCTCTCTTCCTCGTATACGGCCGGTCCACCAGCCGGATGGGTCTGTGGAGAAGTAGACATGACACAGGGATGTAAAACTGGTACAGTAAGTCATATGCTGAACTTGATTGTGTTGTGTAACCAAATATATTTGTGTGTTTTTACTGAGATGTCTCATGTTTTAGGCAAGGGAAGGTAAGTTTATTTCTATAGCACAGTTCACGCACAAGGCAACTCAAAGTGCTTAACAAAAGAAGAAAAGAAACATCAACATCACAAGGCATTTCCCTCTCCACACACCTGGAGGAGGTGTGTGGAGAGGGAAACTCAGATGAAGGCTGAAGCTTAAAGGACAACTCACCCTCAAATCCACTTTTTTTTGCTGATAAACGGTATAAATGAGTGTCCAATAGTGTTGTCTACATATCCTGGTCATAATTTTGTCACTTTGGTACAAATTAGTTGAAAGTCAGACTTTCTGCCTAAAACCGTCTGTGAGGCGCCATCTGCTGGCGACCTGTATTACTACATTTGAATTTTGAATCTGGCGCCAACACTGGCACAGAAGTTGGACCTGACGTCAGCCGCCCCCGCCCAGAGCAATGTAAACGGCCCAGTCTCGTTCACGCCCCCTTTAGTCCTCCAGGCTACGCCCATTTAGAGGAAGATTTGAACAGGAAATGTGAGTGACGTAAGCTCCGAGGAGCGGGGGTGAGAACCACTTTAATGAAAATGATTTCAATCCATGGTAGTCAAACCTTACTTACCTTCTTTGAGCAGTTCAAAGACGTCATTGACTTCGAAGCTGATCTCATCGGTGTCCTGACCAATGTACTGGTACAGAGCTCTGCAGCGCGGTGCCACAGGGGGAGGCTGGGGTTTGGGGGCTGGAGGAGGCCTCTGGCTGATGCTGCGCTTCCTCTGCTTTCTGCCACACAAAACATAAAGGCAACATATTTATTGTGTTGTCTCTATTTCTTCTTTTGCCCCAAAACCTTTATTAATAGGTCCAATCATTCTTGTTTAAGTAACATTTTGTGAACAAATCAGAACACAACATGCTGTCTTCATCTATAGAAAACAATGCTGTCTTTTACATACTGAGAGCTGATTGGCTTAGAGAGTACTCTCTTTTTTCACTGAAAAAGCTAAGTTAAAGGTGTGAAAGAGGCCAAAAATACTTACATGTGAAAACTATCAATGGAAGTAAAGAGTTTTGAGAGAGAGAAACAATAACTATGGATTTATTAAATTTTTGTGGTTTCAAAGTTAGGATATTTTAGTTTTATTATTTATTAGGATCACTTTTATTTGGGATTCTTGTTAGACTTTAGAATACAAAAAATCCAACAGTAACTCCTTGAGTCATTCCCACTCATTGTTACTAGTCCATCGACATAACCACATCATGTGTCAGTCTGCTTCACTTTGGGACATGTCCCGGCTGGTGCTCTGTGACTCAGTGCTCACCCTGACATGCCCTGGTCCGGGACGTTCATAAAGTCCATGTTGCTGTGCTGCTGCTGATGCTGGGTGTGGTTGGGCGTTCTCCTTTGGGTGCCCAGCTTTGGGAGCACAGTGCTGGGGGGATGGCCTTGTCTGTGAGGGGTAGAGTAAGTGATGCTTTCTGGCTGAGTGTGAGTGGCACTGGGAAACTTGGCACCTCCGTTCTGGTAACCTGGGGAAAATTATTTAGAAAGAATATATAAAGAGATTTAAAAAAAGAATTATAATTTACTTCTCAAATAAATGTGAAAATGATTTGTAGCTTGGATTGCTGCTTGTTGTCTGTGTTGTGTTGTTCGGAATAGGGACGGTGTCTCACAACACTTTATTTAGAGTACAATGTTTAATCAATGTGTTGGACAAATTAAACTTTTGAAGAGATTGCAATACAGAGATGTTACATACATACACACACTAAAAAATGAAAAAAAAAATATAAAAAATACAAACATTTTAAGTTTTTTTTTACAAGTATGTTTAAGCTATATGCTTAAAGACTTTGTAGTAGCTGTGATAATGGTGGGTAGTTCTAGAAGTGTATAACATATTACGTTCTCCTCTTCCATCTGAAGGTGAGAAGTAATAATGAAAGCCATTTGACAACTGTATAAAAAAAGTTTGGACACACCTTCTCATTCAAAGATTTGTTTTTATTTTCATATTTTCATTATTTTCACTATGAAAATTGTAGATTCACACTGAAGGCATCAACACTATGAATTAACTCATGTGGAATTATGTATGTACTTAAGTAAAAAAGTATGAAACAACTGAAAATATGTCTTATATTCTAAGTTCTTCAAAGTAGCACCTTTTGCTCTGATTACTGCTTCGCACACTCTTGGCATTCTCTTGATGAGCTTCAAGAGGTAGTGATTGAAAAGGTCTTCCAACAGTCTTGAAGGAGATCCCTGAGATGCTTAGCATTTGTTGGCCCTTTCACCTTCACTCTGTGGTCCAACTCATCACAAAACCATCTGGATTGCCTCCACAGTCTGGTGACTGTGGAGGCCTGGTCAACTAGCCCTTACACAGGCTGAGAGTGAATCTACAACTCATTGAATGACAAAGCATCCAAACTTTTGGTCTGTACTGTATATGTCAGTCTGTCTGTCTGTATTGACGTAGTTCAGTGATTCTCAAAGTGTGGTACGCGTAAATCACTGGTACGCGGGGCTCCCTCTAGTGGTATGCCAAAATGATAAAAATAAATATATATATATATTATATATATATATATATATATATATATATATATATATTAGGGCTGTCAAACGATTAATTTTTTTAGTTGATTAATCGCATAGTAATGGTGAGTTAACTCACGATTAATCGCATTTTTAACATTCTATTTCAAATCCACTCCAATTGAAGTTAAATGAGATTTTCAAATGTAATGACACATTTTTATTCATACCAAATGTACTTAAAGAGTAACTAAACACCAAATCAACTTTTTTTTACTTATACACTGCCTAAATATGTTTCCTATAGTGCTCCCTACATGTCCTGGCCATATATTTGACATTTTAATCCAAATTAGTTAAAATCTCACTTTTGAGCCTAAACCGTCTGTGTGGCGCCCTCTCTATGGTTTTCCGTGTCACTACATTTGAATTTTGTTCCTGGACTCTCCATTGGCTCTTGAGTTCCCTAGTTTTCTGTGACGCAGGTCTTCCCGAGCCTCTGCTATAAGTCTGTTTGACTTGCTCACAACCTTCTACTTTTGGGTACAACCAACAAGAGTTGACACGTCAATGGCAGTTAATGCGTTAATTATTTTTTTACGCGTTAATGAAAACGGTAATTAACGTGAATTAACGCGATAATTTGGACAGCCCTAATATATATATATATATATATATATATATATATATATATTATTATTTTTTTTACTTTATTTAACCAGGAAAGTCCCATTGAGATTAAGGACCTCTTTTTCAAGGGAGTCCTAAATAAAAGTCACATACAATTACAGATTACTGACTGTTGTCAAAGCAAGTGCTATCCTGTTGTGTATCCTTTGCTTTCTGTTACAGCTAACTCGGTGGTGCAGGAATTGTCACAGTTCATCTCTGGTTTTGGGAGACCGGAAGTGGTTCAGTTGGGACGGGGAACAAACTTGAACTCTCATTTGTTTTCTTAGGTCGTGAAATAACTTAGTTGAAAGCACTCCCAAGCGGAGTTACCGATCTCTATACTTACTGTATAGAGATAGGTAAGGGCTGGGAGGAGGGTCTGCCTTGGTTGATGTTGGCTGCGAGGGAGGTCACTTGAAGTACCAGGGGTTGTCCAAGCAAGCTAGTGGCTGCTGAGTTTAAAGAGTCTGAACCGCCTGAAAAATCGTTGGATCACGGTAACGGGTTTAGGCAACGTCTTTATGCAGGGGGAAACTGGGTGTAACCAAAGCCAAAATTGAGTCGCCATTTGGCAGTTGTCCTGAGCTCCACTCCTTTCAGCCTGGTGATCAAGTGATGGCTTTATGTCCTATTATAACATCAACATTACAAGCAAAATATTACGGTTACGGTTCTTGAAAAAACATCTGAACAAAACTATTTGATCTTGATGCCGAAGCGCAGGAAGAGGACACAGTTGTGTCATGTCAACTTTTTGGAACATTTTCAATGTCAGTTTCAAGTTCAGTTAAATCGTATGCGCAATCATTGCGGTAGGGCGTTCTTCCCTTCTTCCTCTTGCCTATCACTTAGCAGGTGGCGTGTCCAGCATGCAGGAATAACACTGGCAGAGGAAGGATCCTCACCACCCACCGTGCTAAGCCACACCGGGACAGCACGGTGGAGAGCCTATGTCCCTGGGCCGTATAGACGGCTAAGGTGCCCTGTAAGGTGGATGGATGCCATGTCTTGTCGGCTTTCAGGGAGGGGGACCGCAGCGGCTACAAAGCAGCTAAATATCAGTTCAGGGACGAACTGAAAGCAGCCAAGTCCCGGCACAGAGATATTAAACAACTCTTCTTGAGGCTGCACCCCCGCAAAGCTCCTGGCCCGGACCAAGTGTCTCCAGCCACTCTGAGACACTGCGCGAGTGAGCTAACTCCTGTGTTCACTGACATTTTCAACTCCTCTCTGCAGTCCTGCCATGTCCCGGCCTGCTTCAAATCCTCCATCATTGCCCCCGTCCCGAAGAAGCCCAGGATCACAGGACTCAATGACTACAGACCTGTAGCACTTACGTCTGTCGTCATGAAGTCATTTGAACGCCTGGTCCTCTCCCATCTCAAGTCCCTCACCTCCCCCCTCCTGGACCCCCTGCAGTTCGCCTACAGAGCCAACAGATCTGTAGACAACGCCATCAACCTGGCCCTCCACCACATCCTACAGCACTTGGACTCCCCGGGGACCTACGCCAGGGTCCTGTTCGTGGACTTAAGCTCTGCCTTCAACACGATCCTGCCATCCCTGCTCCAGGACAAGCTCTCCCAGCTCAACGTGCCCGTTTCCACCTGCAGGTGGATCACTGACTTCCTGACAGACAGGAAGCAGCGAGTGCGTCTGGGGAAGAATGTCTCGGACTCTCGGATTATAAATACAGGAGCCCCACAGGGCTGTGTTCTTTCTCCCCTGCTCTTTTCCCTGTACACCAACCACTGCACCTCCAGCCACGACTCTGTGAAGCTGCTCAAGTTCGCGGATGACACCTCCCTCATTGGACTCATCTCCAAGAACGATGAGTCCGCCTACAGGAGGGAGGTGGACCGGCTGGTGTCCTGGTGCAGTGGTAACAACCTGGAGCTGAACGCCCAGAAGACAGTGGAGATGATTGTGGACTTCAGGAAGAGCACTGTCCCCCCGCCCCCACCTTCCGTGATGGACTCTCCCCTTCCGTTTCCTGGGCACCACCATCACCCAGGACCTCAAGTGGGAGCTGACCATCAGCTCCCTCATCAAGAAGGCCCAGCAGAGGATGTACTTCCTGCAGCAGCTCAGGAAAGCCAAGCTGCCTGCACAGATGTTGGTGCAGTTCTACACGGCCATCATCGAGTCCATCCTCACCTCCTCCGTCACCGTGTGGTTCGCTGGAGCCACAGTCAGGGACAAACAGAGACTACAGCGCATTGTGCGCTCTGCAGAGGAAGTGATTGGCCGCAGCCTTCCATCGCTGCAGGACCTGTACGTCGCCCGAGCTCGAGGCCGGGCTGGTCGTATCACAGCCGACCCCTCTCACCCTGCACATGGACTATTCCAACCACTCCCCTTAGGCAGGAGACTGCGGTCCATCAGGACTAGAACCTCCCGTCACAAGAACAGTTTCTTCCCCTCTGCTGTTGGACTCTTGAACACTTCTTAACCTGTCCCCCCGCCCTTTATAAAGTCACTTTACTGCCCATCATACGTCACTTTACTTCACTGTACTGCTGTCACCTTACATTGTGTGCACCATGTGCACTTGTATATTGTAAATAGTAACGTTAACTCTATTCTAAATTTAAATGTATTCCTTAGAAGTGTTTTTTATTCTTTATTTTTATTTTTTATTATTTCTCTCTGACTGTTGCACTGAGCCGAAGCAATTTCCAAGTCTGTGACTTCCTGTTACTTACGTGGCAATAAAAAGGATTCTGATTCTGATATTAGTATGCAATAAATGCCCCTACGAGGGTTCTGAACATTGGCCGTTGTCTCTTCCCCTTCTGTTTATGTTACGGCCTAGAGCCGGGTCGTAACAATATACAAAAGTTATTTTTCCCAGTTCTGTGCGGGCAAAGGGAACAGAGAACAACAAAAGATCATTTGATCGCAAACCATATGAACCAACATCTCTTTGTGTGAGTAAATGGCAGATGTACTGTAAGAGGCCAGCAGACCAAGCCTAATAAACAAAAGTGCACCCGTGTCCAAACCCTCTGGTGGACAAAGAAGGCCATCCCACTCGAGGATATAATTCACAGTGGTGAGTCAAGGCTTTACAGTTTGTAATGAATTGAAAATTTAAATTGAATCATTATTTAAGTACAGTTTTTAGTTTTTTCTTTCTCCTATATTTAAGCACAGTTGTACTGTTGAAAATGAGTAAAATGTTACAATGGCTCACAATATTAAATATACTTCTTTAGGAATGAAACCTCTGCCTTGTTCTTGATGAATACTTAGGCTTACTACGCAACTGTATAGTGTTGGTCTTTTTTGGTGGTACTTGGAGAGGAAAGTA